ATGCCTATAATATTCTGGTATTACATCAGCTCATTTTGGTCAGACCTTGTGTTGGTGAAACAGCCTCTTTTAAGTTGTTTTTTAAGATAGAGGCTGGATTCATGCTATATATATATATATATATATATATATATATATATATATATGAAAAATATAGTTTTAAGGTGTGGTATATTTAGGGGATAAAGTGCTCAATATCAGTATGTAAATATAAATATAAAAGAGAACATTCAAGTCAGCACTCAGAGGCGACAGGCTGTTTTATGCTGGACGCAATCGTCAGACCGCGAATGCTGGATTTTGCCTCGGCTATTTATATATATGGGTTAGTGTTGCATTGTGGGTAATCTATTCTGGCGGTTATTTTTACGGGAGTGGTTTGATTGCCAAATAAATAAACAAACATATAGACAAACATAAAAATATATATATATATATATATATATATATATATATATATATATATATAAGATTTTCTCGAATATTCGGGCCAGTAGATGTGAATCCACTCCTATGGATGTACACGTCCGAATGAATACGACTTCTTCGACGCACGGTCGGTTTTCATTTGGGTGTGGCGCCAAAAGTTCCTCAATGTACCATAGGGAATGCGAAGAAGCATGTAAACTTGAAGGGATACATTGTTCATATGGAGACTCAGATTTATCTCCGACATAAACAAACAACTGAATATACAAAGACGAAGAGATAATTCTACTTCGTAAACTGAGGCCAAGACAAGCGGACCGGATATATTTCTTAATCGTCTCATCCCAAGCAAGGCGATAATCCTACTTAGAGGCAGTGGTTCACTCGGAGTGAAAGATAATGAGAAAACTTTAGTGGTGCGAACGTACGTTAAAAGTACAGGTTTCAGGAAGACATAATGACGATTGCCGTTGTATTTAAAATTTTTGAGGATTGTAGATGGGTGGTAAGCAAGAGATTTCCAATATGTGAGCAATGACAAGGTTTTAGAGCAAATGGAAACGAAAACGAACCTTATACTCAACATCAGGAAGAGACAGATGAAATTTCAGAACAACATAATGAGAAAAGAGGGCTTGGAAAATCTGATACTGACAGGACGGATTAAGGGAAAGAGGGAGAGCGGAAAACAACGCATAATCTACATGATGAGCTTGAGTAAATGGATGGCGGAACAGGGCTTAGAAGAAATAACGCAAAGTAAGAATTTAAGAGCTACAAGGGACAGGAAAATATTGAGGGATATGATCGCCTACGTCCTGAAGGGACACGGCACATAAAAAAGAATGTCTGTCTCTCTTTGAAATTGTTCCTTAAATCGATTTCTATGTTGAAAAGAGCCAAGCAAATCTATCTCATTAAATGTATTAAATAAAACTATAAACAATTGCGATTTATCTGTTATCTGTTGTCTGCAATCCATAAATTTTATATAATACTTAGCAGTAGAGACCGTCGTTACCCGGGGATATAACAGTAAGAGATAGATCAAATATCGACTATCATAAAGACTGAAAAATAAAATTGACAAAGATTATTGTTTAAGGTTGACAGACACGCATGTCTTAATTAGTTTTTTTTTTTTTACGAATTGGTCAAACCCAAACTCAAACAAAAACATTGTTTTCAATCGTTATGAGTCTACTGATTGAATAGAATTTTATTATAAACAATTGTCTTTTAAATGGAATTTTTAAAGCATTCTGAATGTAAAAATAAAGAAAAAAAAGTGTGCAGAAAATAAGAAACACTACCTGCCAAAAAAAAAGTGAAGTTTTGTTGAAATCGGTTGAAAAATGTAGGAAATCAGATCCCATATATAAACGAACACACACAAACAAACAACCTGGGTTTTATAATAAGTATAACTTGATATGAGTTGTCCCCCTTTCATTCTGGCGACAGAATCGTGTTTTATCGTGTTTTTTCAAATTGATTTCGTGCAAAAACAATTGTGTTTTTCCAATTTTTGGCGCTGTCACAACCACCAGAAGGTAATTTTACGTAGTTCTGTGAAGTTTTGTTGAAATCGGTTGAAAAATGTAGGAAATCCGATCCAATATATAAACGTACAGACACACACACACAACCTGGGTTTTATAATAAGTATGATTCTACTCAAAGGTCTGCCAACATAGTTGGGGGAGAACGAAAAGGAACGCGCGACACTTTTGGAGAAGAAAAAAAAAAAAACTTCATGAACATTTAAGAGGCTGGGTAATTGCCATTCCTGGCCTGTTCCCGACATTCTATTTTGTACTGCTCCCTATTACTCACCACAGGGAACCATCCCTGTCTCTCATCAGAATGTCTGATGCTCAACTCCACGAGAGCACTTCTTTGCGACTCCTTGGTCTCAAGTTGCCTGATGATCTGAGATGGAACAAATACATTGAATCAATAGCTTCATCAACCTCAAGGAAAGTTGGTTTCCTTTGTCCCACCAGAAAATTTGTTTCGCCCGAGTTCAAATCTATAAATCAACCATTCGCCCTTGCATGGAATACTGCTGCCATATATGGTCTGGAGCCCCCGCACTTCGTCTTAAGGTCCTCGACAAAATCCAGAGACAGATACGCAATGTGAATGGCCCTGATCTGGCATCTCGTCTACAGTTGCTCTCTCACAGATGTGCCGTCGCCTTCCTCTGTCCTTTCTACAAATACATTCACGGTAACTGCTCCGACGAGCTGCTTTCGCTAGTTCCCAGACTGCATGAATTTAAACGTGCTACTAGGCTGGCATCGCGGTCCCGCCCTTTTACTGTCGAAACTGTTAAATGTAGCTGTCTCTTCTACTTCAATAGCTTCATGTCTCGCACCACCCGTTGTGGAATTCTCTTCCTATTGTTTCCCTAATAGCTATAATCTCCAACTATTCAAATGTAATGTCATTCGAGTTCTTTAGATGCCTTGATCTATTCCCTGTCTTTTTCTTCATCCTTTCCTCCATCACGCCTCTTTACTCTCGCTCTCACACTCTATAACGTCTTGCGTGCTAATGGCATCACGCCTTGCTTGCTTAAAAAAATGTCAAGATTTATAACCTCCCCAGTTTGTTTTTAGTTTGAACTCCTTTTTGTCTTGACTGATCAGCTTTTGATATTTCTCCACTCCGTAATTTATTTTGTTTCTTCCTTGCCTCTAAAAAATAAGCTGCATGATTCTGCTTTGTATATTTAAATAAACCCCCCCCCCAGAAACAACTGTATATATTTCCGTGTCGTGGCTATTTTAGTAGGATCTCTGTGAATATGCTGTATTATGGCATGTGTTGGATTGAATAGCGATGAGTGAGTTCTTGTGGTGTATGAGTAAATTGTAATGAATGAATGGGTCGTGAGCCAGATTAACGAGGGGGTAAGATAGTCAGGGAAGACACAACCTTTCCCTTTCTGCCGTATGAAATGTGATAATTCAGAATAAAAAAAACAAAAATTTAAGAGGCTGAGAAAAATGCACACTACAAAGTTCAAACCTAAACAAACATCTGTTATTATTTCATTATATATATATATATATATTATTATTTCATTATATATATATATATATATATATATATATTTCATTATATATATATATATATATAATAAAATAATAACAGATGTTTATATATATATATATATATATATATATATATATATATATATATATATATAATTTTGAAATAATAACAGATGTTTGTTTACGTTTGAACTTTGTAGTGTGCATTTTTCTCAGCCTGACGTACATGTTCTTGGTTCTTTCTTTTTTTTTATATATTTTTTCCCCTTTGGTATTGGTTTGATTATTCCCAAATCAAGACACCGAAGGTTTTCATGACGCGTATAATTTCTTATACTTATAAGATTATACTAATATATATATATATATATATATATATATATATATATATATATATATATATATATATATTAATACCCTTGGGAAAGGTATGAATCCTCTTCCTCTCCCTCCAGCTATGGGTAAAATAGCAGGACAGACTGGGTTCTATAGCCTTGGTTGGCAACTGGTCTAGGAGAAGGACAACTCTGAATTCAAAACCTGCGAAGGGTCGTTGTGGCATTCGGTGCACCATTCGTCCCATCCAAAAGTGTGGATGGTCCTGCATGAGGCCTTTACCACTATAATCAAATCTCATGTGCCGGTGTCGGGCTGTCGGTTTCCTGGAAACTGATCTGCTTGACCCTCATACGTCGAATCTCGACGGGAGAGTCGACTATTAGACAGTTGAGCCGTAAAATCACACCCGACCTCAAGTGGAACTCGTACATATGATCCATTGCTAAGGATGCAAGTAAAATGGTCGCCTCCCTTTGCGGATCCTCCCTGTGCTGCTCCTCCTGCTACCGTCTAACTTTACAAGAGCCAGACCAGGCACATGATGAAGTACTGTTGTCATATTTGGGTGGCAGCTACCCAGACATCAATCTCCAATCTTGACAGAGTTCAAAAGCGTCTCAGAGCCCTTGAGGGTAACAAATTATTCCCCACCCTTCAACCTCTCTCCCACAGGCGAGATGTGGCAAGCCTCTCACTGTTCTACTTCCGCGAAAAGTGATCCGACGAAATATATTCCCTGGTCCCACCGAGACAAACTTACACAGCAAGAACACGCCATGCCTCTCACATAGTAGTGAACCACCCACATTTCCCCCGTATTCCATCGGTGAGAAGGAAGTTCCACTCGAGCAGCTTCTTTCCGCGAACCATTGCCCTGTGGAACCGACTCTCAACAGGATGTTTCCCCGATAACTACAGTCTTAACCTGTTCAATGCTACGGTTAACCGTTATCTTCCATTCCTGTACACACGAATGGCTTCCAAACGTAACCCTCTACCTCGAGTGGCTCTTGGGCCTTGTAAAGGGTGAATCTCGCTGTAAAAATAAAAAATAAATAACCGATGGATTGCGTCATCAAATGTTACCAAGGAGAATTCAACTCAATATTGGATTGTTGGAATGTTATGATTTTGTTCATAATGTCGGCTATTTCAGTGCATATGAAGATGTTACAAGTAGATAGTAATGGAGGAAAGAAAGGAAAGAGAAACAAGGGAAAATAGTAAGAAACGGAAATAGAGAGGAACAGAGAGAGAGAGAGAGACAGAGACAGAGAGAGAGTGAGAGAGAAAGAAAGAAAGAGAAATGCAGATGTAGAAAGGAGAGGCGAGTGAAGAAAAAAAGAGAAAGACGAGAAGAATTAAAATAGAGAGAAAGAGATAAAGAGAGATGAAAAGCTAGAGGAGGTGATATAGAAGATGAAGAAAGAGAGAGAGAGAAAGAAGTTGTGAAGAAGCGAGAGAAAGAAGAAAAGAGCGTGAAGAGAAATAAAGAGATAAAGAAAGATGAGACGCGAGTTTTTTTAAATTAACAGAGAAAGAAACAGGGAGCGAGATGAGACAAATAAAAAAAGAGGAATGAAAAGCGAAAGAACGATTGAAACAAAAGGGAAAGTCCGCGATGAAGAGAGAAGGAAAGATAGATATGGGGTTGAGATAGGAGGATACAGGAAGAGAATAAAAGAGAAAGGAAGGGAGTAGAGAGAGAGAGAGAGAGAGAGAGAGAGAGAGAGAGAGAGAGAGAGGGAGTAATGTTCAAGGAATATAAAGCGAGAGAAAAAGGGGAAAGGAATCAAAAGCTAGAAAGGTAAAAGGAGAAAAAGGAAAGAAAGGAAGACAAAGTGAGAACAAGAAGGAAAGAGAACGAGATTCAAAGAGAAAAAGAGAAAGAGAGAAAGAGAACGATGAATGAGAGAGAAAGTTTGAAAATGAGCTGACGTCGCTGAAGACGAGATCAGAAATGTGTTTGATGTTGGAAAGACTTGGAAATTTAAATTTAAATTTCCAAGTATATATATATATGAGGCACGGTGGAGCAGTGGATAGCGGCTTGGATTGAGAAATCGAGTTCGAATTCCAGTCGAATCCATTACATTCACTTACGTGCTAATACCCTTGGGAAAGGTATGTATCCTCTTCATCTCCCTCCAGCTATGGATAAAATAGCAGGACAGACTGTGTTCTATAGCCTTGGATGGCAACTGGTCTAGGAAAAGGACAACTCTGAATTCAAAACCTGCGGAGGGTCGTTTGGGAACCTTGTGGCATGCATTCGGTGCACCAGGTTTTTGTATTCGTCCCTCCAAAAAGTGTGGCTGGTCCTGCACGAGGCCTTCACCACTATAATCAAATCTCATGTGCCGGTGTCGGGATGTCGGTTTCCTGGGGACTTATCGGCCTGACCCTCATACGTCGAACGCGACGGGAGAGTCGATTATATAGATAGATAGATAGATAGAGAGAGACAGCAGAAAGACCACTGCAGTTTTCTTATCAGAGAGATAAAAGTAAGATAGATTCTTATATTTATTTATTTTTGATCAGAGCAAGTTAAAACACAAGTAGAAATAACGTAATTATCAAAATATCATAATCTGCGTTTGTAATGAATACTTTCTATTCAACACAGATGCCATTGATATATACAGTTTTGTATATTTTATTTTCTGTTTTCTTTTTTTAATCATTTCACCCCAAGCAAGGCAATAATGCCACTAGGACACAAAAAGTTACTAGGTAAGAAAGAGAATAAGAAGACTATAATAAGGAGAAAGGACAATAAAAGAACAGGTAAACAGAAGATGGCAATTAGCATTGCATTTAAACTTTTGAAGATTCTAGGTGACAGGCAAGCAACAAATGTGAAGGGAGTTCCAGAGGTGACAAGGGTGAGAAAAGAATAGAAGAGATGGTTGCATCTAGTTAGTTCAACAGTAAAAGAGTGAGACCTAGTTGCCAATCTAGTATATATATATATCTATCTATAAAGGTTAGGATGTGTGTGTGTGTAACGAATGCACGGCCGCAATTTTCGACGGATTTGCACCAAAATTTACATGCACATGCTCCAAGTTAGCGAAAAAGCCAAGATCGACTTTGCATTTCCCAACTCCCATCGATAGTGGAAATAATAAATTTTTCATGCTTCTACGGCAGTTTTCATGTAGTTTGCGGCCATTTTGTACTGGCCAGAGTGAGAGCCTATAGCTGGCTGCCACGAATAAGCAGGAAGATTCTATTGGCCACCGTGAGAGCCAACAGCTGACTGACACGAATGTTAACTAGCATGCTAGCATGTAAAAAAAAATCGATAGCTGCATTCATCACAAGTGGGGAAAAATTTAAATCTGCATGGCACTTTACTCCAATTGGCTCTTCGCTTGCATAAACTCAACGTTGATTCTGATACTGCAGAACTGGGTTGGGTGTGAAAAAGTATTTGTTGTTAACATTCTTTTTTCCTTCGTTTTTTGCAGTTACGAGTCCTTTTTTAAAGCTGATCGTTTTGTGTTCATTTTGTTTAATTCTTTTTTCGTAAGAGATTTAATGTTTAGTATAGAGCTTTGAAAAAATTTGCAGTGTGAGTAAGGCATGTAGCAACATCAGCTCGGCAAAGGGCACTCCTTTAAAAAATCAAGGAAGGGCAAAAATATTTTTTAAGTCAAGTGATAGCGATTGCTGTATGAGTCGTACGATTTTTGAATCAAGCACAGGCAACGCCGGGCCATGCTGCCAATATATATATATATATATATATATATATATATATATATATATATATATATATATATATATATAAATCATATTATCTGCTAATGTATGTATATATTTATACGTTTATAATTGGATGTATGTAAGTGTATTTATTTTTAATTTATATGTGTTTGAATCTCATCCATTTTTTTTTTTCGAACATACACAAACATGTATGAATGTGTTTAATTATTGTTACTTTTTTCCAGCTGCAGTTGGTCAAAAAAAAAAATTTATTACACACACACACACACACACACACACACACACACACACACACACATACACATGTAATTATTTATTCAAAAATTATAACATAAATATGTTATAAAATCACTACAAAAATAGCCATTTTGTTTCAACACTTCTGGTGTCTTATCAAGTGATGGTGTTGAATGTAGAATAAAGGGTTATCAAGCACATACCCTCCTCCATTGAATTTAGGATTAGTACTAACTCTTCTAACAAAGGGATTTTTAATAAGCATCGTGAATTTTACAATTCTGCCCTTAGAAATAGTGGATACAAGGGTATTAATTATGTTACATAATACGTAACACTTATATAAAACTTAACACTTTTCGTTTTCACTCTCGCGTGATCATGTGTGACGTCATGAGCCGCGGTGCGATTTTCGCTTCCAGCGTCTCGTATGCACGATGTTTGTCGTTGCTTGTGAATCTTTTATGCAAATTAAAACAGACTATCATTATTGCGATGTAGGTGTATTGTTTAATATATTGTAATGTTATTGTCATCTTTGATAATGGCTCATGTAAGCCGAAATTTTAGATAGGATTAAAAAACATGTATCAATATGGTGATTTCCTTTCGTCCTTCAATGATAATGTTATGAAGGTTGTCAGACGATATGAAAAAAAAATAAATAGACAAAACTTGTCTATATTTTTTGATGAAACAAGCATCAATGAAAAATGCTGCCTAAATACACGCACATATATATATATATATATATATATATATATATATATATATATATATCATCGAACTTATTGCCAATATTGTTATCATTCTTTTCTCTTTTTATTTATTTTAGTCAGTGTCACCTCAAGCAAGGCAGTTCAACCACTTAGACGCAAGGGATTACAAGGTGTGGAGGAATTAGGAACAGAAATATTAGTAATGAGTAGAAAGAGAAAAGAACAGTCAGGAGGACAGTAGATAGCGATTGACATTGCATTAATTTTTTTGTAGATTAGATTTGGCTGGAAAGCATAGAGCCGTGGGGTGGGGGGAGTTCCACAAGTGAGAAGTGTGAGAAAAGAAATATATACTAGTAATATATATGCATACTAATGATATACATATATACATACTAGTAATATATATATGTATATACTGAAAATATATCTTAGTTATGCATATATATAAAGTAATATATATATATATATATATATATATATATATATATATATATATATGATATATGGGTATTCATTAATGCATGACGCTGGGTTTCAAAAATTTGCGATCATCAGACAAACCACGATGAAAGCCAAATCACAAGCTCATATCCATACAACTGAATATATATATATATATATATATATCTGTGTGTGTATGTGTGTGTGTGTGTGTGTGTGTGAATATATATAGAAAATAGGAAGGAACTGGTTAGGTAAATAATCCAAAGTTCCTTAGTATTTTAGTTATTATTTTTTAAAATAGTGCTCGATACAAAAGTAGAGCATAAATATAACAATATATAATATAATAAATATATAAAATAATAAATATAATAAATGTTTGGAAAATTATAAACAGTGCTAGAACATGTAAAACTTGGGATGACCCATGCCCTTTGTGCCTACATGAGAAATTGCACATTATTAAGCTTCTAAATAATAATAATCTATTAAACAATAGACATGAGTTAACGGTTTTCTGTTGACATCATCAGATTTATGGTTTGAATTATTAGCTAAAAACAAACACACAATAATATAACTTGATTAATCCATAGCCCAATCATCAGATTCATGGTCTGAATAATTAGCTAAGAATAAGCATACAATATAATAACTTTCATAATCCATAGCCTAAATACTCTACAAAAAAGATAACCCTTTATGAAGTCGTCAAAAAACAAACGTTACGGCAGTTTTTTTTTATATCCACAAACCCCTTTCATAAAAAAATAAAATAAAAAAATAAATAAATAAATCTCCATAGACACGCATACCAGACTAGGATTAATACATCTTCCGTATCAAATTTAGACACCCCCACCTTTCCCTGACTTGACATCCATGAAAGTAACTCTATATTGATACTTATTATTAACACCCAATTTAAACAATTCACGCTAGCTGTTACCATGGAAATTTTGATTTGAATTATTAAAAAAAGTAAATTTCAGAAATACGTTATTACAAAAAAAAAATTTCGCTTGAAGATGGAACAGAGCTTACTTTAACTCAATTTAATTCAAATAATTATATTGAAGTTTTCGGCTCTTGTTTTGAAACATGAGACCTCTTATGTCGCGAGTTGGAAACATATTTTTAAATAAATAATTATATATATATATATATATATATATAAATATATATATATTTGTGTGTGTGTGTATTACTAGTATATATATGCATCACTAATATATATTATTAGTATATACATATATATATATTACTAGTATGTATATATCCTTAGTATGCATACATATTACTAGCATATTTATATATTACTAATATTCATATTACTAGCATATAATATATATTACTGGGACACACACACACACACACACATATATATATACTAAAATACCTAGATATAACGAGTATATTTACATGTTACTCGTATATATATATATATATATTACTTATATATGTATATATATATATATATAGTATATTCATATATATATATATACTATATATATATATATATATATATATATATATATATATATATATATATATATATATATATATATATATTCTGATATACGTTATTTTTTATAGACACAATTTATTTAAGTAATTGATCTGTTTTTTAATCAAACGATATTAATTTCATTTAATTGTCGGACTTAATCCATTCCATTATATATATATATATATATATATATATATATATATATATTATATATATACATATATATTGTACATATATATTATATTATATATCTATAGCTATATATATATATATATATATATATATATATATATATATATATATATATATATATATATATATTAGTTATTTCTTGTTAGTATTTGCTAAGATTAGTACCTACTGAGTAAAATGTCGATTTAGAAGAAAGTAAAAGATAATACAATGTTGATCTTCCCAGTGAAAGAATATCTGCTCTTCTTTTAAGTCTACATTAGAAATAATTACCTTTACACTTCCTTCGGAGAATAACCATTGGCCCCAGTGAGATTTTACGCGTTTATCTCAAATCATGAAGGAAGCGGCTGTTTATTTTCTGATGCAAAAAGCATTGAAAACTCTGCGAATCACCGGGGACCGTCGATGAAAAGGAAACGTCAAACTAAATTCTTAACAAAGAATCACTTGTTTACATTATTTACTTGTAGAAGGCCGGGGCGTACAAAGGCCGAAATGTGGTGAATATGGGAATAAAGATGAGGATAACAGCCCGAATAATGTAAATAATGTAAATAATACCTAATCTCAGAAATATCGACAGAGAATCACTTCTACTCAAATTAGGACATATCTAACGATGTAGCTATTTATGAAATTCTTC